CGCGGATCCAGAGCAGCCAAGAGCAGGGCCAGGGTCAGCAGGCAGCCTAAACCAGTATGGACCAGTATAAACCAGTATGGACCAGTATGGACCGGTATGGACCAGTATGGACCAGTATGGACCAGTATAAACCAGTATGGACCAGTATGGACCAGTATGGACCGGTATGGACCAGTATAAACCAGTATGGACCAGTATGGACCAGTGTGGACCAGTATGGACCAGTATGGACCAGTATAAACCAGTATGGACCAGTATGGACCGGTATAAACCAGTATGGACCAGTACGGACCAGTATGGACCAGTATAAACCAGTATGGACCGGTATGGACCAGTATGGACCAGTATAAACCAGTATGGACCAGTATGGACCAGTATGGACCAGTATGGACCAGTATGGACCAGTATGGACCAGTACAAACCAGTACAAACCAGTATAAACCAATTTTTCCTTATTTTTGGGGCCATTTTGGGGATTTTTTTGGGGTGAATTTTGTGGATTTTGGTTTTTTAAGGAAATTTGGAATTTTGGGGATCTTTTTTTTTTCGGTTTTTGGATTTTTTTTCTGGGATTTTGGGGGGAATTTTTGGGGTCATTTGAGGGGTTTTGGGGTTTTTGGGATTTTTTTGGAAATTTTGGGGATTTTTAAAAATTTTTTTTGGATTTTTTTGGGGAATTTTTGGGATTTTTTGGTTCATTTTTGGGGGACTTTTTGGGGCGAATTTTGTGGATTTTGGGTTTTTAAGGAAATTTGGAATTTTGGGGATTTTTTGGGAATTTTTTAAATTTTTTTCAGGTGAATTTTGGGGTTTTTGGGGATTTGGGTTTTGGGGCATTTTTGGGGATTTTAAGGGAATTTTTTTGGGGATTTTTGGGGGAATTTTGGGGTTTTTTGGGAATTTTTGGGTGGATTTTGGGGGTTTTTTTCAGGCTTTTTTGGGGATTTTTGGTAATTCTTGGATTTTTTGGGGTGAATTTTGTGGATTTTGGGTTTTTTAGAGAATTTGGAATTTCGGGGGAATTTTTATTCGTGTTTTTTGGGATTTTTTTTTCTATTTTTGGAATTTTTTTCTGGGATTTTTGGGAAATTTTTGGGATTTTTGGGGATTTTTTGGGGGGATTTTTGGGAATTTTTTAGGG